TCTTTCTCTCTCTTTCTCTCTCTTTCTCTCTCTCTTTTTCTCTCATCCTCTCTCTCGCACTTTGTCTATCTATCTATCCATCTGTCTGTCTATCTATCTATCTATCTATCTATCTATCTATCCCCCCCCTCTCTCTCGTTCTCTCGCCGCATCTCCAAGTTTCTACACCCTCCCTTCGTTTCCCTGATTTATCTATTTAAAATAATAATTTGTAAATGAGTCAAAATCTGTTGAAAACAGCCTATTTAATACCATGGGAGAGAAACGAAATCTACCTGCGATTCAGATAATGCGTCTTTCTTCCTTATTCGTTTCGCTAGAACAATGAGTGGTACATGTAGTTATACGAGTAAAAGTAAAGTCTAGCCAACCAGGCACATAATTACCACATATTACTGAAATATTAAGAAATGTGTCCAACCTTCACGAGATCGGATCACACCAACACAGCCATCGGCGCCTCAGGACACTACGTCCGAGCCTTGGCCTCATGTTCTCACCTCCTCCCCTCCCCCCCCCCCACCGCGCACCGTGTCCTTCAACATCCCCTCACACCACTTTTCCGTCTTCTTAGATTGATTGGAAATGCTTTACGCTCTTATCAACACCATGATGACAAGACATGAAGAGGCAACATGTACGAGCCAATGGTGGCTGCCCAGTTTGTCACAGGCCCAGTTTGTCACAATTTCATTCAAGTATTTGAGTAACGGTATTGATGACATTCATAATTACAGCACTTTAGCATTGTAGTTAAACGTACGTTTTTTATTCTCCACCTTCACTTTGGTGGTGTAGAGAAAGTCCCTCTAAAATGTCAATTCAGCTTGTGTTTTTCAATATTTCTTCCTTTTCGTATACAAATCAAAGCAAATTACTCTGTAAAACTTCAACAATGAATGTTCTCTCGTTAAAAACAATTGAAAAATAAAATTCACTTCATACAATCATCAATCATTCATCTACTCTTTTTGAGAGTGTCAGTGATAACTTCCATCATGCAGGGCACAGTCGAGGCCTATGACAAACTTGGTGTGTGACAATCTGGCATGCTTCCCGAGCCAACCTAGCCTGAGTGGAAGCTAAGCAGCATCTCACCTGCTAAAGAATGGAGACAATAGACTTTTCATGTGAATTTCGAACCCAGGTCTAACGACGTAAAGACAAAGAGTCTCAGGTTCAGTACACTAAACTACAGTCACCGGTTCCTGTGTGTCTTCTTCACTGTCCGTCCGCTTCAATAATAGCTTTTTTTCCCCGCCAACACGTCTGTCTTGTCATGCGTAATTGTTTCTTCCTCTCGTCCCGAGTCGTCCCCCCATTGTCTGTCCGCCGAATAATCCACGCCATCACAGTCCCCCTTTTTTCTCCTCTTGACTTTGACCTCTCATTGAACTCCGCTGGTCCCTATCCATGGCACTTTCTGGCATGTCAAGCCTGATCTGCCTTACTAGAAGTAGATCATCGAATTTACGTTTCAGTCTACACACTCTTGCGTCTAGATTTCTGTCCTTTGTGCCTTCAACCTCATCACCACCCCTCCCCCCCT